CCACCCCATGGGCGCAATGCTGCGGTGCGGGGGGTGGTGCAAAGAACGACATACGGACGCCGAGCGTCCCTCGGCACGATTGGGGGGCCAGGGGCCGTGGACGACAAAAACTGGCGACCACGTCATCAGCCTCAGCGCTAAGGCCGGCACATGGGACATGGGAGCACGGCGTGTGCGCGAAAGGCGGGCGGGGGGAGAGCGGCGACATGGCGCCGACGGGTGCGGGACACTTCTCCCCGCAGCGAGGGCGGACGCCAACGCGTTCGGCAGGCCGGCGGGCCACGCCGGGACTGGCGCACCCGAGGCGACTGGGGAGAGAGGAGAGCGGCCGCGGAGGAGGGCTGCGGGAGGAGGCCTCAGGCGCAGCGGACCCTCGCCACGAGGAGAGCGCAGGCGGCCTCAGGCCCGGGACGGCCTGTGCTGCGGCCGGACCTGATTGGAGGGGGCGCGCGGGGGGGCACAGGACCCTTCCGAGGGCCACGCTGCCACAGAGATGCAGGAGGCATGGGTCGCAGGACACGGGACACGGGGGTGCCCTTGATCTGGCAGGGTCGACCTACAAATCCGGGCCGCCTGCTGCTGGAAGTGTGTGCGGTCTGTCCGAGCTGTCGTAGGGTGGGGCTGCGTTGGCCCCACAAGTAGGGGGGGTCCGGGGGCTGCGTTGGCCCCCAGGAACATTAAAAACTGCCAGGGGGGGGTCCAGCGCGGATCCGAGAGATCCGCGCGGACCTCCGAGTTGTTTTGTGTTTATGCCATTGCTCGTTCCCCCAACCAGGAGAGCAACCCGTCATCCACTGGACGGCAAGCGAATTCCTGTGCAGGGCCGGGACCGTGGGAGGTCGTGGGGAAACCGAAAGGTACCGATACCGCTACCCCCTGGACCTCTCCTGGGGTGCGCTCCGACCAGAATCTCGAGGCGAATACAGCATACGGCGGTGGCGACGAGGGCCTGCCAGGAGGGACAGCGAGGGGAAAAGCGGGCGAAGGGCAGAGGCGTGGCTACCTCTTCCTCCTCCGAGGTCGTCATCAGAGGGGTCCGCCCTCCCGGAGGCTGGTAACAGGGGATATGTCGACCCCTATCTCAGGCTTCGTGGGGTTTCCGAATGGACCAAAAATTTGGTGCCAACCCTGGGAGATACGATGGGGGGGTGTCCATCCTCGGTAGGGGTGCGTCCAAATTGCCCCCTTGGGGTGTATCCCAGGGTTTTCCCATTTTTCTGAGCGGCGAAACTTTTCGGGCGAAACTCGGGGATTGGGGGAGAAACATCGCCCGCGACCGCTGGGGCCTCCCGTACACCGGCGAGCGTGCGGCACCATGGTCCAGGGGCCGAGGCCTCGCCGGAGGGCACCGCGACGGGCGGCGCAGCGCCGGGGAGGCCGCCACGGAAGGGGCCCTGGGGCACACGATTAGATCCACACTAATACCCAGACCTCGCGTCGTGAAAAAATCACGACGGGAGGTTTTTCACTATTTTCGCCCTCTGGAGGCCCTGCCCGCGCCTCGGGAGCGCCAAAAAACGACTCAGGACGAAAAACCGGTCCTGGGGAAGGGGTCCAGACCTCTGGGGTCGACGTCATGAAAAAATCATGACGTCGGGGGTCTGGGTAGCCAGATTCCCCGTGTTGTCCCGTATTTTCTGGATTTTTTGTCTGCCCCCCCGCTTCCCATAGTTTCCCACAGTGTCCTGGGAATCGCCGATGAATTGTGTCTGTGTGTTTCTTTTCCTCCTGAGCCATGGTGGCCAGGGGAGGGGGGCGAAAGGAAGAAGGGCAGAGGACAAGCGTTAGGTTCGTGAATTGCGACTACAGGCGGTCCACGACCACTTCGGGCCAAAAAACCCAAACCAAAAAAAACACCAGGAACTCTTGAAACCAAAACCTGGGGAGGTCGACATCCAGAAAAAAAAACTCAAACACCGAAACTGCGAAAAACTCAAACCCACAAAAAAATAGGAAAAAAAACCTGAAGCTCAAACCTGGGGAAAAAAAAACTCAAACCCAACAAAACTCCAGAAAATCTCTAAGCCGGAACATGGGAAACAACTCTGGAAAAACTCTGGAAAAACTCTGGGAAAATTCTAAAACAACTCTGGAAATAAAAAGCTCTAAACGACTGAAAACTCTAAAAAACTCTGGAAAAAAAACTCCCAATAAACTATAGACGCTTGAAAACTCAACAAAACAAAACGTATGGGAAAACTCTGGAAACAACTGTTAAAAAAACTGCTGGAAAAACTATAAAACAACTTTAACAAAAAAACCTTCCGGGTTTGAGTTTGTTTTCCGGGTTTGAGCTTCAGGTGTTTTCTAAGTGTTTTGTGGGTTTAACTGTTTCCCAGGTTTCGGCTTCAAGATTTTCTGAAGTTTCTTATGTGTTTGAGTTTTCCCCAGGTTTTGTGTTTGAGATTTTCTCAGGTTGTCCTGGATTTTGAGTTTCCCATTCAAGATTATTTAACATTGTTTTGGAGTTTGAGTTTCCGGCCAAAGATGCTTGGAAGAT